GAGATTCAGTCTCTGGAGCCGAACAAGGTTTCTTTCCATGGCAGAAACAATGTTTTACTAAGAGGAAGGAACCTGGAATCTGTCACTAAAATCCGTATTCAAGGGGATCTGTACTGCATTCCTAAAGAGTGAGACTCTGTGCGTTTGTTTAGTGGTATATATGAATGTGTGTAGATTCAGATAAATGATACTGTATATCTTTACCTTCAGATCTCCAGTGTTTGATCGCTCCAGTGACACTCTAAGGTTCCACATTCCTCCCAGTGGAACTAAAGGAACAGTGAAAGTGTGTGTTGTTACTCCTGACGACCGTTGTCATGGCAACAGCATCATCACTTACAGTTCTCAGCCCAGCTGCACTGGAATACAGCCCACAGTCACCTGGAGCAGGTCAGACCATTTCAGACCACTGTCTGGTCAGCTTCTACATCTTATCAACACCTTAAGATGACAATGCACATTTTAATGAGTGAATCTAATGTCATACAGAACATTTTAATCATGAAATTTGCAAGAACACTGTTAATGTGGAAAAATAAGATTTGCAATGATCTGCAGAGATACTTTTAGAACAGATGAAAAACAGAAATGCATATAAATTCCTGCATGTTTTGTCATGTTTCTGAGATCTGCAGTTTAGTCTTGCTTAAACTGTTAGAGGTTTAGTAAGAGCAACCTGGTTTCTGACAGCCAGGCTTTTCTTAATATTTTTGGTGGGTTTCACTTCCATTGTTTGTAGAAATGTGTGGTATTGTGTGTCTGTGTGTGCATGCAAAAGCCACATATGCAAAAATAAGTGGGGGAATTCAAATGTAAATAAATAAATAAATAACTAGATGATTGAATGAATAAAAAATTAATGGATTATCATGTATTACTGGCTGAAGTTGTTTTAATCTCTTCATTCAGCGGTGGAAGGAAGATTCATATTCAGGGCAGCAATCTGGAATTAGTGGAGTCAGTTACTGTCCTTCCCTTTGCGCTGGAAGCACAATACAACACAAGCTTAGGGGTAAGATGTGTTTATTACGCCTGCAGTTGCTCACAGAACTTTATCTGATACATAGAGGTCAGCTATTTATAACTTCAGAGTCTTCAAACGTCCATCACCTTACTGACCACCAAGCTGTTATGATGCCTAAACATTTCAAGCAATTGAATTGAGTTTTTTATTATTTTTTATAAATTTTAAACAAAATATTACAGACTTCTAATATTTAAAATATAATTAAATATTGATTTTAATCATTTTAATATTGATTGTCAGTTAACATGAAAATAATTATCAGCTTGTCTCTGTCAGAATTTTAATATCGACTGAAGACTTTAATTGTATTCACAGCTTACATGCAGCTTTAAATGTCACATGTATTAGTGTCATATTTTCATTGTCTCTCTTTCTCAGGACATGTGGTTTCACTCACCCCCCTATGATGGCGGTGGTCAGTTTAGCTTCTTGTTGAATGTTGGGAACTCCACTGTGGACTGTGTGGATTATTTCTCCTACAAGCCTGATCCAGAATTCACTGGATTCACCACCTTACAGGTGGCCAACGATCTACAGGTGAACATTCAGGTGAGTTTAGTGATAAAGAGTTTAACTTTAGTCTACAGTCTGCATTTTTGGCATTCATGCCGACCCCTGGTCGGCTCTCAGTAAATATTATGTTTCTGCACGAGCATGTGAAAATCACAGCCTCCAAACCATCCCACACTCTCTGTTGCTCAGAAAAAGAAGGATGATTTGAATTTGAATATCAGTGAGGTGAATGTAACGGGTGTACATGGAGATCAGCAGTATCGGTGTGTTTTGGAGAAGATTGAGTCCAATGCGGTTATCTGTACAATCAAAGGAGAATCAGGAGCCGTCACTGCTGTGGACTCACTCACTGTGAGTTTAAATATTAATTTTTTATGCAAATTGTCTTAAATAATTATTGTCAATTATTTCTGACCCTTATATTTTACATACAAAATTCCTTATTTTACTATAATTTTCAGATAATTATTGGGGGGTTTTCTAAAGACCTTGAGCCTCAAAATGGTTCAATATATTTTCTCATCCTTGCTGCATTGATTCTGCTCATAATTCTGGGTGCTGTTGGTAAGTGATTTCAGATTTGCATCACATATTTTCACAATAGTCCTGCAGGTATTAATGTATGTGTTTGCTCCTCTGTCTAGTTGGATTCATTGTGCACCGTAAGAGCCAGAGACAAATGAATGAGAGAATGAACAAGCAACTAGAAATGCTGGAAAGCAACATCAGAAGGGACATACGACAAGGTTGGTCATCTTTGAAATACTGGTCTTTGTGATGTTTGCAAGCATCACTATTGCTCATACTGAAGATTAGTGTTATGAACACACAACTAACCCTAAATATTCAACTTTGGTGTGTAACTCCTCCCGCACATTTGTGCACAGGACATAAATTATGCCTCAAATCATGCGACTTACTTTTCTAAGCAATATGCATGGCAGTCAATAAAACAACAACTTACTTACATTGAAGAAGGATCACGAGCAATATTGGGGTCCAGAATGTCATGGAGACTTTGGGTGTTTTTTTTTTGTTTTTTTTTGAGCTTGTAAGTGACTACATAACCACCACAGGTTATGTAGGTTATTTAAGTAGTATTAAATATATTTATTTATAATATAAATTATATTAATATAAATATAGACATGTAAATACATGAAAATATTTTCAAAATATATACTGTATGTGTGTGTATTTATATAAACATAATAAATATACACAGAACACACACATACATTATGCAAACAAAAACTTTTGTTCTGGATGCGTTTAATCGCGATTAATCGTTTGACAGCACGAGTACTAACTAAAAGTCTTCTATCAATCTGAGAGGAAGCCAGGGAGGACCAGGAAGCAGGAGATGAAGTTACGATGATACAAATGAGCAGGGTTTATTGAGTAATCTTAGTTGTGTATATTTTAATGCTCAGACTTTATCTGAGCAGCACAAATCCAACAATTGTTATATCAAACTGCTTCAGAACGACATCTCAAAAAACCTTGAAATGGAGACATTCCCTCTTATCTCTTATTCATGAAGACAAATATTCCATGAAACCCAACAATCATTTAGATAAAAGATTAAACAACAATAGCAAGCATTGCAAGGGCGAGAAAATAAGAAGTAATATAAAAATATAATAAAAATGGCATAAATTTAAAAAAAAGTATTACGTTTTATAGACGATCAAATGCTAAATAATATAAAAGATTAATATTAAAACAAAATGAATTAAATGAAGAAAATAAAACACAAAAAGTTTTAGAGTATTTTATTGGCTTGAAAGTTTTGCATAAAATATTTTATTTTTCAAAACATCAATATTCAAAAATAAAATAAAACGAGCATAATACAAGAAATTGCAACATACTGTAAATATTACACAAAATAAATGAATGAATGAAGCTGTGGTTGGTTTCTATTTGCAGACAGATGCGTAACTGCCAGTAACACTACTTTTATACTCGTATTTCTTCTGTTCTTTATAACTTGTCTTTCTGTCTGTTCCTCTTCCTCTTAGATGTACAGTGGCATCTCTGTTGACTCTGGCCCTCCATGGAGACCTGCTTTATCTCACAGAGGTCATGGAGGACCTTTTGCAGAGTCTGATGGACCAGTCCAGCAATGCAAATCCCAAACTTCTCCTGCGCCGCACAGAGTCCATAGTGGAGAAGCTTCTTACCAACTGGATGTCCATCTGTCTGTACGGCTTCCTCAGGGTCCGTCCATACATCCACTCTGTTGTGGATTTAGAAAGCACATGTTCTCTTCAACTACTCATGTGTCCTCACAAATGTATAATGTTTCCTCCATAGGAATCAGTAGGACAGCCTCTCTTCCTGTTGGTGTCAGCTTTGACTCAGCAAATCTCGAAAGGGCCGGTGGATTCGGTGACTGAGAAAGCTCTGTACACTCTTAGCGAGGACTGGCTTCTCTGCCAAGCGCAGGACTTTGAGGCCTTGGTTAGTATTTCCTCTTTTACTGTCTCTTTTATGCAATGAGGAAGTGTTTGCAAAAACGAACAGTTATGGAAAGTACTAACTTTAGAAATACCTTTCTGTAATTTGCAAGCCACATTCACATTTTAAAAAATTCCCCATTTTAATCAAAAACACCAAATATTTTCCTTCCCAAATGAACTGTTCAAAAGTTCGATGCAATTTTTAAAATTGTTTTTGAAAGAAGTTTGATCTAAAACACAGTAAAAACGGTAATTTTGTAAAATATTATTACAATTTAAAATAACTGATTTCTATTTTAATATATTTTAAAATGTAATTTATTCCTGTGATTATATATCTTTGTTAAAACCGTGACATTTGATACAGAACTCTTTGATGAACGGAAAGTTCAAAAGAGCAGAAGTTTCTTGCTAGCTGTGTACATTTTAAACCTCTTGCATTAGATGCTCAGAAGCTTCTGCTTTTTCTGTTGCCATCATGTCCATTCTTAAACCACAGGAAGGCATCATGTAGCTTCGTTGCGCAACATTTCTTGCACAAGTGCTTCAGGCATCATTTTCCGACTGTTGTGTTTCTTTCTTACATATGTAAAGGATAGTTCATGCAAAAATGAAAATTCCGTCGTCATTTACTAATAGTTGTTCCAAACGTGTTTGAATTCTTTCCTCTGTGGAACATCAACGAAGATATTTTGAAGAATGTTGGTAACCAAAAGTCTGTTGGTCCCCATTGATTTCCATAGTATGGAAAAAATATTGAAGTCTATTTGGGCCAGAAACTGGTTGATTACCCACATTTTTCAAAATATCTTCTTTTCTGTTTGGCAGAAGAAAGAAATTCATACAGATTTGGAACAAATTGAGGGTGGGCAAATGATGACAGAATTTTCATTTTTGGGTGAACTGACGTAATCTTTAATGTTGGGCTATAGAGAATTATCATTTTTTTGTTTTCCATCATTTTTTGTTCCTGATTCCTTCCTGACGTGCAATTCTCATATTGAGTGTGGTTGGATGGTTGGTTTCTAGCAGTTTTTTGCTCATAAACACACTTGTGTGGACAAGAAAACCGGAAAGATTAATGATAGTTTGTGGACAGAATCATGTGACAAGGCCATCTTCCCCCCAAAATCACCAGCAGGCTCTCACGGTTAGACTAGTGTGACCGTTGTGCTTCTGCATTTTGCTTTCTGCAGTGATATCAGTCCTGCACAAGCCTTCCTCTCACAAAACTGGACTGTACCTGTATTGCCAAGCCAGTAAATGCCATTTCTCCAAAGGAAGATATTTGTGTCAGAAGATGGTCTTACTCATGGTTTAAAATTGTATTCTGCTGCTTTACAGGAAATTACAGTGGCAAAAAAAGAAGAAGTATTTAAACTGCATAGTCTTATGCAATTGTGCATTTTTTTAAAAACGGCCATTCTAAGTAATTTAAGTCGATAAAGTATTTTTACAAATCTGACTTTAATGTTATATATGAAGAGTTCATTTGCAAAAACAGATAACTCCGTTTTTAACAATTTTCATAAATTAGGTTTTTTCATTGTGCGTTCCAGTTAATCTCAATCAAACTGCAGTTGGGTTATTTTGATTAGGTTAAAAAATAACTAAAAAATACAGCTAACTAACACAATAAAAACATGATAACAATAAAAAACATGATTTTTTTAATTTTCAAAAAGTTAGTTAGCTGTATTTTTTAGTTATTTTTTAACCTAATCAAAATAACCCAACTGAAGTTTGATTGAGATTAACTGGAATGCACAATGAAAAAACATAATTTATGAAAATTGTTAAAAACGGAGTTTAACCAATTGTTTATCTATATCTATCTATATATAAATATATATATATATATAGATAGATAGATAGATAGATAAACAATTGGTTTGCCAGTTTAAAATGTTTTGATCTATCTGACATTAAAAAATAAAAAAGTATGTAAGAAAATGGTCTATAAATAATGTTTTCTTTTACTGAAGTTTATGAAATATTGTCTGTATGAACTGCCCCAGTGATATGAAAGACATTATGAGTGGAATTTATAAAAAATTTTCTCCATCGTAATAGATTGCAACTTTTTTTAAAAACCTATCTCTGAAATTGAACATTCAGTATTTTTTGAAGAAGATTACAGGTCATATTTTTATTTTGAGCTCTTTAGGTGCTTGTTCCTTCAACTGTTTGCTTATTCATGCATTCTTATAAAAAAAACATAGATAAATTATGTGCCACATATAAAATGAGTAGTTTTTCTTTAGTCATTAAATTGTTTGGTTTATGTTTTCGCCCCCTATAGAAACTGAAGGTGGTGTTTGCTGTGGGGACTGGAGGAGAGGTCAGTGAACCCTTAGAGGTCAACGCACTGACCTGTGACACAATACAACAGGTCAAGGAGAAAATCTTGCAGACCTTCCAGCGCAAGTTTGGGTTCCTCTTCCAGCAGATCAGGGATATAGAAATTGGTTAGTAGACTCCCTGTTTCTCACTCTCTTACTGTTGATGATCATAATATTTCATAAAACTTCCTTATAGAGCCTACGTCTGTTGTTAACACACAGTTTCAGGTTGCCAGTTGCAATATCCACTAAACTAATTCCTGTTTGTATTCTCTGTTTTATGTTGTGCACTCACAGAATATGAAAAGGAAAGAAAGTTTGTCATGCTACAGGAAGTCGATGAGTCCTCAGAGATTCGGGGGCATGTTACCATGTTGAACACTCTAAAACATTATCAGGTGAGTGCATGAGAACAAAAAAATGGAGCAAACATCTTTTTTGAGAAGTGGACTGTATTCTAAGCAAACAGACAACTGATAAAACAAAAATCCCACATGGGCCATATATAGAGACGAGAATAAGATAAAGGCTTAGGGTTTTGAGGTAAGGTTTGTTCACACCAAGAACGACAACTATAAAGATAACTTTAATGATCACCAATAACATTCTGTTTATTATGAGCACATACTGCAGTTGTTTGCTGCTTTAAAGGGGTCATGAACTGAGAAATCAACATATAAGAGGTCATTGCGCTATAAAAACATCCTGTAAGTTTCAGAACTCAAAACGTTCTTGTTAGTCTAAAAACAGCTTATTGAAGTCAATTTGCCAAAATGACAGCTTGTGGAATGTGCCACTTTATGACGTTATAGTGTGGCTGAACACCGCCTCCGCAGAAGAAGATTAACGCCTGTTTAGCCCCGCCCACCGATTCACATATGTACTGTAGTAGGTTAATAACGAGAGAGGTGAACGCAGGTCTATGCAGGAAACTAAATGATAAAGATAGCTGTGTAGTGCCAAGTTGTGGAAAAACAGTCTTTGCACTGTCCTATTATTTATTCGTTTTTAACCTAAATGACAGCAGCATTCATCTGTGTAGGATGTAGGCTGTCAACCATACACAACTGTTAGCCAATCATAGCAGTGGGCGTTTACTTTTATTATGTTTATTATTATTATGTTTTTTTAATGTACAAATCTTGATAGCATTATAAGGCTGTTCATGACCCCTTTAAAATACCTTAAGACACCTTAAAAACACCTTATAGCAAGTTGTGATTCCATTGATATCATTCCTCTGTGCCACTACTCTCATAGAATTAGAATGATTATTATAAGTTTATAGTTGTTATTATCGTTATTATAGTTATCATCCTTGGTGTGAATGGGCCTTTGAGCTATTAAAGTCCCCATCAAATCAAAATAGTTTTTTGGCTTTTAGTATGAATATATTAGCCTTAAGGTTTTGTCTAAGCTAGTGTGAGCCAAAACAATGAAAAATTCACATTTAGAAGATACTGTATAAGCATTCAAACCTTACAGTCTCTCACTTCCACCAATATGGATCAACATGCAATTAATCAACAAAAATCATCTGATTTTCTAATCAAATGCTTTCTGAAGCGCCCCACCCCCTACACTATAAATAGACACTGTAGCTGCTGGTGAAATCAGTCACTTGTTCACAGAACTACTATTTTTTATATAGTGAATGGCACGTAGTGCACTACATAGGGGATAGGGATTGATTTAGACAGTGTAAATGTGCTTTCCATTGGGGTGAATGAAGTCTGGTTTCGCGTTGTGTCCCACGAACTGCCGCAGCCAATAGTCTGCTTCGAGCCAGAGACACAAAGCACAGAGCGGATCATATGTATGAGTCGGTGCAGACCACAAAACATATCGGACCCATTTGAATTCTACACAAAATGCTATATTTTAAAGTGACTGGATGAGACAATTTTCTACGCATCCTCAACATCATAATAATCATTGTTTTGCTTTAGTAATAGTTTCATATTGTATCTAAAGGAGTTATTACACTGTGGGTGTCAAATGTGGTTTTACCAAGCTTAAAGGGTTAGTTCACCCAAAAATGAAAATTAGCCCATAAATTACTCACCCTCAAGTCATCCTAGGTATATATGACTTTCTTCTTTCAGACGAATCCAGTCGGACTTATATTAAAAATCGTCCCTAAAAAGGCCTCCTGTAGCGAATCGGCACGTTTTTGTAAGAAAAATATCCATATTCAAAAGGTAATAATCACTTTAATGTAGCTTGCTTTAACAGTTGTACACGGAAGCAGCTCCGAGCAGATGATGTATGAGGTCGGCTTTGCTCATGCGCCACTCAGAAGTGACGAACGCGGAAGCGCAGTGGAGAGATCAAAACAAAACAACGGTAACTAATTAGAAGTACAAAACGAGGATTTGTAAAGAAGAATGTCAGAGGATTTTGATATGAGCCAAGAGGAGACTGGTTTTCCTTTGCTATAGTAAGTAAACTTTGCTTCCTTTGCTCCTGTTAACAAACGTTGGTTTTCACGAGACTCACTGGCGTGTGCGCAGATTACTCTGACTGGATTCGTCTGAAAGAAGAAAGTCATATACACCTAGGATGACTTGAGGGTGAGTAATTTATGGGCTAATTTTCATTTTTGGGTGAACTAACCCTTTAACCAATGGCACTGGCCTAGCTGTGATGTAAATTAAATGCTATTGGCTATTTTAAAAAAAGGGGCAGGGATGCTCGAGTCGAATTACATCAACTCATTGAGTAGTGCTGCATATTTCAAGGCACTTCAGTGGATCCTTAAGAAACCACCTAGAACACCCCAGCAGCCACATAGCAACACCTTAACAACAGTGACAAAAGGAAATTACCAATCACATTTTCTTTAGAAAATGTAAAAAATATAGTTCATATCTCTATAAAATAAAACAATAGTCATGTGTGAATAGAAATGTAACAGATAAAAGACTACAAAAGAAGTTTGTCTTACTGTCTTGCTCAGTATTTTTATGTTCTCTGTTAGCTTTATTCAAGGTGCTTGAGATTGACCTTTCACTTGCAAAACTTGTATCACAAGGCCAAATAAACCCAGATTATGCTAAACTGTTGCAAACCCATAATACACCCATAGACTACTGCAGCACAGTATTTATTTTCTCAGCTTTTCCAGAGTTTGTGTTTTTAAATATGTATTTCCATCAAGGTTGGAGATGGATCATGCATTAAAGTTATCACAACAAAAGTACATGCACCATTGAGGTCTCAGAGCAGTGTAAAGGGTGAGTCACATTCCTGCCATCATCCACAAACTGAAACAATGCCATGCCCGATATCACAATCAATACATTTTGGGTGGTTTATTTTGCTGTTGCAGTTGTTGCTACTTTATTATTGTACTTAAAATAGGTTTGCATTTTGAGTGTTAATATCTGTATAACTGACAACTTAGAAGTTCATTACAAACAGCCATTCAGCTCACCACAATACTGTAGCTTTGCAAACACCCCACCCCCCTCTACAAAACATTCAGTATTGCAACATATAATGTGGGTGTTCTGAAATTGTTTTTTTCCTTCATGTAACAGTGCATCCAGATGTGTTCTGTACTCTATTACATCAGCTAAGAGAAATTCAAATAAAGGGAAAGTTCAGCCAAAATATGACAATTCTGTCATCATTTACTCACCCTCATCTTTTTCAAAACCTATAGGACTTTCTTTCTCCTTGTAACACACAAGAAGTAGTTTATCAGAATGTACAAGCTTAATTTTCCATACAATAAAAAGGAATGGTGACCAGAGCTATAAAGAAAGAAATTATGAAAGTCTGAAATTTCAGTGTATTCCTCACAAAAGCTATCATATGATCAGATATATAAATATAGTGATTTTATGATGCTTTATGGTGCTTTTTGGAGCTTTACAGACACTGGTCCCCCATCTAATTTCTCTATATGGAAGAGATCAGCGTTAACAGTCTGCTAAACATCACTTTTTGTTTTCCACACACAAAATAAAGTCATGTGGGTTTGAAAAGACTTGAAGATGAGTAGATAATTAGAATATTACCATTTTTGGGTGAACTATCCCTTCTATTGAACTTGTCAAGCTGAACTAGAGCTATTAACAAAGAGTTCAAATTAAGGCAACCTTCTCACACTGAAGCACAAGGATGAAATTTGGCCTTGTGTAAAGGAAGTGGTGGTATCGGTTGTCTTTGTCTCTTTATACCACGTGTTATATCTGTCGGTGGAGTCTCTTTTCCTGTATATGTACCACAGACAGTTTCTGGTAGCCTTTTAGAACTTTCATGAAGTTGTTGATATATTTACATTTTATAATAGTTAACAGATCAGTAATTGTTGTACATTTAAATATGAATATAAATTAATCCATGACATTTCAGTTTGAGTGTATATTAGTGATCAATGGTCTTGTTTGTAGTCTAATAATTTTGATTAATGTCAGACAGGGTCCAAGATGTCGAAATGTGTGTATGAACACATGCATTGTTCACATCCGGTTATGTTTGCATGTGTGTTTGCGGTATATGTTGGAGTGCATCTGCATTGTGCAAATTTGGGTGCTGACATGTGGCCATTTTAAGTTCTACTCAAACCCACTGTTACCACAGTAGAGATTCTGTACTGTAACACATCCTATCTGCTGCGTCAAGAACAACAATAATGATTGTTGGGCCAGTATCAGCTTGACATTGCTTATTTACTCATCATTATGGTGTTTTGTTGACAGATGATGAGAACTTTGCTGTCAAGTACTTCCATCTGGTGAGTTGCCATAGGGCATGTATTCTTCTGTCCAGTGTTTGTTTTGCTGTGTTCTTCTCATTGCACTGACACACCTAATGATCTGTCAAGTGACTGTGTTGTGTTTTCCTCCACGGGTCATTATTGAGAGTTCATGTGTTATATCTAGATGCTACTGCATTCGCACTGAAGTGAAGTGAATGTGGGTGTGTGATACTTTCGGTTTTGTCAGCTTCTTCCTGTTTAAATGAGAGGAAGCGTTTTTAAGTAAATCTGAACATAATCTTTGTGTTGTTGATATTGTTCAAAGATACACCAAGCATTTTGCCTCTTGAGGCATAATAACTTCAACATTTCTATTAGAACCGCTGTCAGTATATATAAGAAGACATTGTTGTCAAATAACTTTGATTATATATAACAATAAATATGATATCAAAGACAATTTCAAATACACATAGTAACTGGACTTTTTGATTGGTCTAGGTCGATCCAGATATCGACACAGACCTGAGCAAGCATCCAGAGAAAAAAGCACTAAAATTCAAAGAGATGTACCTCACCAAGCTGCTCTCCACTAAGGTGAGAATAATTGACACACAGAAGCATTTTATTATATACTGTATATTGTATAGACAGATGCAGATACAGATAGATAGATAGACAGACAGACGGACGGACGGACGGACGGACGGACAGAGATAGATAGATAGACGGATTGTCGAAGAAGCCAAAACTCTTCCCATTCTATATCACTAAATATGTTATTCCAAAAACTCACACAAGCAGGTAAAGAAATCTGAGATCTATTAATAATTGAACGGATGTCTTTGTTTGACATGGCATTGAGAAGACTTTGGTCAACAAATAAGTTAGTGTTATCAAAAAGAGGAGAGTCTAACGAACCTTTAGGGCCAGATTTTACTAAAGGTATAATACAAGAGGGAATTGCACCAAACACAATGGCATATTCTCTTGGGGGGACAGGAAAAGAAAATTCTTGCATAAATTGTTCATAAGTAAAAAGGACACCACGATCATCTAAAAGTTGACTGACTAAAAGTATATTTTTATCAAACCAATTGTGAAAAAAAAAAATATATATATTTTTTATATTTTAAATATTTAATCATTTATATCTAATATTTTTATTATTCCAAAAAAAAAGTAGCTATGTGGTGAAAAATTATAATTATTTATGTGATTATAATTTTAATTTATAGTTGGTATAAGTGACCAACTTATTAAAGCCTGTTTATGAAAACAAGATAAATTTAAAGGTATTTTAGTTGGAGCGCAATATAAAATGTAAACCTCCAGCAGAATTAAATATATGATTTGGAATAAAATTCCAACAGGATGTGGGGTTGTTTAAAAATGTTTTTATCCATTTAACTTTAAACGAATTATTAAGAGTAGAAAAATCCACTAACTCAAAACCCCCCATAGCCCGATCAGCTAACATATCACTTTAAGTGAGTTTTAGAATTCCAAACAAAGTCAACTATAATTTTGTCCAGCATTCTACAAATTTCCACAGAAACATCCAGTACCATGTGTATATTTCTATAACAAACGCCATGACATGGTGTGACGTAAATTTCAAGACAGATTCCTATTGGCTGAACGGATTTGGGCGAGCCTCATTTTCATGGGGTGCTCCTGCGCATGCGCGTTTGTCCACAGACGCGTCACTGCGCATTCAACATGGACCCGACGGTGAAGCGGTAGCGACGGACGCCTCTACGAGTCATGTTTATATTCTCCCATTACGACGCTTCATTATTCAGAGGAAAACACTCCGGTTGACCGGAGGAAACCTAAAATGTACAGCTTCCAAAATCTGCCGCGCGTCCTTGGATAAGGAATTGATGAGATACCGGTCATGGCTGGATTGATCAAGAAACAGATCCTTAAACATCTCTCCAGGTCAGAGCTGATCCCTTCCTGACGGGCTTTACATACATGTCGATGCTCGATTAACACGAATCGTGGTTTAAAGGCTGAGATGAGTCCTGCTGATGTGGCTGTGCTGGATGACACATGCTGATGGGTCATAACTGGGCTTTGACAGCTTGCCAGACAAAATGCTGTTGCACTGGGTTGATGTCAAAACGCTTTGGGTGTCATGTCTCCAGCCAAACGAGTCTGTCTGCTCTCATCTTAATGTTGTTTTTTGTGGATCAGTGTGATAGAGAGTGTGCTTTATGGCTTGGAATCTTTTATTTTTAGATTTCCTCTGCCTTGGAAACCACCCCTCATCACATTCAGACAGGTTAGATCCTTGGTAAGATTTAAGTGGATTCATGACATTGCATGACTGACTGTGACCCCATTTCTAGCCCTGTGGTGTATCAGGTTGACACTTAAAGGTCAGTTAATCAACAAACAGTCTAGTTGGATGCCATGTAAACTAAGAATTTATACAAATATTTACAACTATCGGACATAAATGTAAGGTTTAGAGTCTGAATTTGGCATCTTAAAGTTGGCATGTAAAAATAAAATCTGTTTTCCACATGCATGTTTTAGTGAGAATGATTCATCCATGCATGTTATTTTTTATTTAAATTAAAAAAAAAAAATTAAATTAAAATGTCATAACCGGACTTTTCTCTGGTTATGTATGCAGAACTTCTCCAGTCATTTACTTAAACATATTTTAACACATCGCTGCAAGCTCACATTCATTTGCCTCCATCAACAACAACCAATGCTTAGACCCGCCCTACATTTTTTATTTTCTGATATGCCATTATACTTGGATGCACATCAAAACACAGAAGAAAAAATCTGTTGCTATTTAAGTTTCATCACAGCTTTAAATCATAATATTGGCTGGGTGACGTGTCCCCTTGCGTGTCTATGGTGATTTCATTTCACCAGGCCTAGATGGAGAGAATTGGACTTTTTTTTTGTGCTAATGTCAGATTATTTTGGATATATTGGATTTAAACATGGTTAGTATTTAGGTATTTAAAGATGAAAAATCAACCACTCAATATATATTTTCTCATTTACACACCCCCATGTTGTTCCAAATTTGTGTGGCTTTCACAAATGGAAGATACTTTGAAAAACATGGGCTTCTAAATTAACATTTAATTTTTAATACACAAAACATGGATCTGCAGGAGATATGTAGAACTTTATGAATGACAAGCATTCCAGTTCTCTTGAAATCTGTGAGACTTTTAAGGCCACGAATGATAACTATAAAGATATCTATATTAGCATGCACACACTAATGCATGGTAACTTTCTGTTTATTTTAAGTGCACACTACAGTTTTGTCATCTGCTGCTTTAAATGCTTGAGCCCATCAAATTTGGATAGATTATGAGTGGTTGTCAATGGTTTTATCATTCATCAGCTAAAAAAAGTTGTCCTGGAAGCAATTCCAACAATAATATCGCTCTTTGGTGTCAATAACATTATATTTGTGGTTTGAACTTTCAGCCCTGTAGATGGAGGACTCTCCAGTTGAGCAGGTTGGAGGAGTCACATCAGCTCATTTCTGTTCAGTTTGTTGTGGAAACTTGAATTAAAACTGGGTAGATTGTAAGGATACGGCCTGGTTTCAACAGAAACTATGTTTTGCCTTTCCGGCCGAGTGCACGTTGTGCCAAATGGTTTCACTATTGTGTGCAACTGTTGTGTCAGTTCTTGAGATCAACCTACCTGCATTATTTATTCCCTCAGTGGAGCGCATCCAGATGAAATACTACACCTGTTCATTCAAAATGACAAAAGAGGCCATTTGGTAAAATGGTGAAGTGTGTCTCATGGTGTTCCTCATTTGATAAGCAATAGCTCAGATCCAAGAAGTCGAGCGGTCAGCATGATAAAATAAAGATGGTGTGGGATGGCGTCTCATAAGGGTCATAACTTTAAACTGTGCCCTTCAGGTTGGTGTTGGTTGTGCACTCTGCATTTTCTGGAGGAATAGTGGCGCTCAAGGCCCCCTAAAATGGATAGTGCACACTGTGGACCTTGACTTATTGTTAATGACGTTGTGTTGAATTAATTTACCGCCGAGGGACTTTTACCCAGACTTTGACCTACACAAAATCAAGTATTCGTCTTGCGGCGGCGCTTTTTCAGTCTGTAATAATCTCATATTTATTGTTATAGCTTATCAAACATTTTGAGTAACTTCCAGTCGCCTGTATGCGCCCGTATTGTGTTCGATTTCAAACCATAGAGAGTGTAAAACAATATGGGGAACAAGTCAACATAGCACTTCACAGGAAGGGGAAAGGGAAATTTACCCACCAGTCTTTGTGCACCACCTTAGTGCTACACAAAGTTTTTCTAATTAAAGCACTGAAGCTATTTTGAATATAGTGCTTTATATTATATTATATTATATTATATTATATTATTTATCTAAATATATAGTATATTTATATTTAAAATATTTTTAAACATAATATTTCTTATGTAGGCCTGTATAGTTTAGTTGTTGTGTCTGATTTAGTGAAAATCAGAAGAGGTCCAATTGAAGCTGTAAGCAGTTGTCAAAGGAATGAAACGTGCTTGGCCTGTATTTCTAGTCTCTGGCCCCCATTTTAGAAGATAAATCAGATAACGCTGACCTGACCTGTCTGTCTGTTAGTGTGTGTTCATGGCTAATCATTGTAAAATCAGGCTAGAAACTCTTGTGGTGGTCAATGAGGCTGTATTTACCCTCTTATAACTAGTTTTCTGGATAGCGCATCATGAACTCCAAGCCAGAATGAGAAAATATTTGCATCAGAGAATCTTAATTCAGAGAATTCTTAAGATCAGGGTTTATCTAAAGGAATAGTTCATTTAGTAATGTTATCATTTACTCGCCATCATGTTGTTCTAAACCTGTATGACCCAAAAGAGCTGCTCTGTTCTATATAATTGAAGTGAACGGGAACCAGGGACAGTCAAGCTTCAAAAAGTAAAAAAAAAAAAACTTAAATGTATTTTAAAAGACAAATGTCATATTCCAAGTTTTCTGAAGCCATACAAGATGTCTCTGTGAGGAATAGATTGAAATTGAAGTCATTATTTTTTTTTCTCTGACAGATGTAATCACCATTCACTTTCACTGAATGGAAAAGAGCAGCGCGAGCATCTTACTAAACTTCTTGTTTTGTGCTCCACAGAAGAATGGGTAATTTAATTTAAGAAATTAAGAAGAGTCAAGTCACACAAACATTAAAGTAACATAAGACTCAACAGCACATTTGTTCCTTTGCCAAAAGTGTTTTAAAGTGGAAGAATGTGTATAAAATCGATATTTACAAAGAAGAAATGTAGTGATCTGACTGACACAATTGAACAGCCGCATCCCCAGGTGCATTTTCTGCAGCAACTGTCACTAACGGTGACTGTGTTTTAGCATTGATCAGCTGGATTGCAAGATAATTGACAAGCAACATGTGGCACTTTAGCAGCTTTTGGTCGATTATGTTGGTAGCAGTCTCTTCCTGTTGCGCCGGGAACAGAACCAGGACACTGTGTTTGTTCCACATAATGAAGCCGAGCTTTCACGTGAACTGAAGTGAAACTTAAAGCACCTCATTGGATTTTTTCAGCCTTTTTCATCATTTAGCCGAAAGGAAGTTGGCTGATCTCACCTGCGCACTCAAGGCCTCAGAAAATGCTTGTGTACTTTCCCCTTGATTCACCCTTTGGTAGTTAGACTTGGGTGTTTTAGCTTCACAGTCTTATAAGGAAATGCAAATCTAGACCTACATATTTTCAAAAATGTCTGAGTTGGTGGGTTGTCAAATGTCGACTGTGTTGAACAAGCCTTAAGAGCCAATATGATTAGGCTGATTTTGCATCATAGACTGTATTGAATACGATGCAATAAATGACGTCTTCCTTTAGAATTAACTAAAACTTTTAAAATTGTTTTCATGAACTGATTTAAAACTCAAATGCAATATGAATAAAAGATTAAAAACTTAAATGAAAATTACATAAGTTGCTTTGGCAGCTAGTTGAAATAAAGTATGTTTAAGGTGAAGTACTAAAATGACTAAAGCTAAAATGGAAATAACATGAATTAAGGTTAAATAGAAATATATATATAAAAATAATTAAAATGTCAAAAGCACATAAAGTTACTAAAATAAAAATTGAAACTGGAAATATATTTAAAAAAGCCATTCAAAACATTAAATAATACTGTAATAGAATGCAAATAATACTAAAATAAGGTTGCATGCAAAACAAACATAAAACACAATCAGTTTGGTCTGATATATAAAGAAATTAGTCTTATAAGCTGTCTCTTTTCAGTTAATCAAAAACCATACAGCGACTGACTCCTTGGAGTCGTTTCTTTTAATTAATAGTTCAAAAAGCTGAGTTAATGGTTTGAATTAGTCTGAAACACTGCCCTATATAATTTACAGTATTAGCAGAGAGGTGAATTTTTACAGTGAACATTATAATTTGTATATATACCCAAATGAATCACTGCTTCTTTTATAAAGACGCTATGTTATGTCCTCCGAGAAGTTAATGAAATGTTTTATTGGGCATAAGCCTAGGTCTTTGTTTAAATAGCAAGCTATTTAGTTTTGGTCCATATCTTGGGTTGATCAGTGCTTGTAGCTCATAAAAAGAGCAATAATTTCTTCTGTCTGCAGGAAAGCCCTCAGTGAAGTAACCGTCTATTCTCTTTTACCACTTCTATGCTGTTTATCCTTGCTGTTGTCAATGTTATCGTCATGACGACCTTCCTCCGGTTCTGTCCCTCAGCTGTTGTTTTCTAATGACTCGCATTGGACGCAATTTTTTTTTTCCTGCCCAGAATTTGTCCACGCACCTCTATTGATTGGGGCTTGTCTAAAACCTTGTGCTGAGATATGCTGTAGATGCTCAGGAGATTTCAGGACGGCTCTATGAGGCCGAGTACTCTCTCTCTCGTGGCTCTTGTGTTTGTGGGATGTTTGTTTATGTGTGTATCGTTGTGACATTTGCAGAGGGTCTATGAGGGCATCTGTCATCCTGTGAATAACTGCTGCGTTTGGGCTATTCAGAGCTCTCCTTCTGTGTCCTTGGTGTAAAGCATTAGATTAATAAGTCACCATAACTGGGGCATAATCTCCTTCAAGCATCTCATTCAAGAGATGCCCACACTTTGAAATTCATCCAGTGAGTGCAGGGATACAAGCTGCTATTATGGTTGCTATTATATTATGACAATTGTTTTTACTTGATACATTAAAAATCAAACATGAAAATGTACTTTTTCAAATACATGTTTCTGGTTATATTTTGCATATCTGTGCACACTCACAGTATTCCAAAAGAGAACAGAAATGTTTGTTTTTGTAATCTATCATCTAAATGCTTGACCTTTCAAACAACTTCTATTTCAAGTGACATCATCAAGGCCGCATAAGTTTAAACCAATGAGTGCAGGCGTTGAGTTTTTCTTTCTGAATATCATGTTTCAAAAGTGCCTAGACAGTAGTGAAACATTTTCTCACAAGAAGACACTGTATCTTGTCTTAACTCGATGTCTAATTTCTTGGCAGTATTTTAGTGATTAAGAATCTGTTCGATATTGCTCTTTTCAGTCTTATTGCTGTTTCTGCCATTTCATAAGATCAATATGTCACTCGAGGCCATATATTACAGTGATTGGCTCTGTTATACGCCCTTAATCGCTGTGTGGTAAATTTAGCACGACTTGATTGACTTTATGAAATAGTAGCAATTTAAAATGGACCAGTTACATTCAGATCAGAATTAAAAAATGGTCAGTTAATGTAGTTTATACCTATTTTACAGTAACTTTGAATGTGCCTCATCTACTTATTAAAGGAAAAGTTCAACCAAATGACAATTTGCTCACCTACAGGCCATCCAAGATGTAGATGAGTTAGATGAGTCTCTTTTAATAATTCTGGGGCCCGTTTCATAAAACAAGTTTACCAAATAAGCCTGGCTTATTTGGTAAACTTGTTTTATGAAACGGGCCCCAGAATTATTAAAAGAGACTCATAGGAAAGTGCCACGGTTTCCGACCTTTAGACACTTTCATCCTTATTCAGTCTTTGCAAACTTTTGTTATCTCTTCTAACTTTACCTACATGTAAAGTAGTTTCTAGGTTTCCAGGCCAGTGGTTACCTCAGTTTTAAACACTTAGTTGCCTCTGTATTTGAAACTTTGAAGTTATTGAAGTGGTTAGTGGTGTTTTGTCCCTCAGTAATTAGGCTTTAATAATCTACCTGTAGTTCTTTATATAGAGCTCTTTATTTGATTCTGTTAGAGTGAGATAGTTGTGAAACAGGATTAACCGGCCATCTAAGGGTGTTCTCTCAAACGCAGATTACACCTAGTCTGGGACCTAATTACACAGTTAACGGTGACTCTCAAAGGAGCAATCATTTTTAGTCTAGCTTTTGGTTTAATCTGTGTCAGAGAGAACTGTTCGCTGCTGTTAAACTGCGACTGTGTGTGTTAGTGTGTTTAAACTGGGCTGAAGGTCAAATAAACAGGCCATCCAACATCTTCAAGCTATTCATGACGCACAAACTTTTTTTTGCCCAGGCTAGCGTTGACCTTGGCCACATCATAGGCTTTGAGTGACCGGTTTTTCCACACCCTGACCTGTTTGTGTCATTAGCCCGCCGAGCGAAAACAGCTGAAGGAAATGATAACAAATGAGTTCTGTTATCAACCTTGGTGCTGAGAGCTGTGCGGAGAACGTTGCACTTGCGGGAACAATCTTAAACATTAACTGAAAAATCAATGCGCTCAGAAACAGAAGGTCACGGCCTCTGTGTGAGCTCTCCTCAGATTCTCCGGGTCACTGAAACCGATGTGCATTTCACTCATTGTGACTATCCATTGAAAATGAAAAGTGTGTGTGTGTGTAATTCAGTGAAAAGAGCTTTTTCTAGCAAGTAATGTCTTTAATCACCCATTACTGAATTTTTTTAAGGGGTCATATGATGTTGCTAAAAAGGAACATTATTTGGTGTAATGCAATGTGTTTATGCGGTTTAAGGTTCAAAAACACATTATTTTCCACATACTGTACATTATTGTTTCTCCTCTATGCCCCACTTTTCTGAAACGCGTCGATTTTTACAAAGCTCATCGGTCTGAAAAGCTAGGTGTGCTCTGATTGGCCAGCTATCCAGTGCGTTGTGATTGGCCGAATACCTCAAGCGTGTGACGGAAATGTTACGCATAAGCATATTTTTTTATATATATGCTTTTTAGTATAAGCATATTTGAAACATTTCTCTCTCTCTCTCTCTCTCTCTCTCTCACACACACACACACACACACACACACACACACACACACACAAACACACACACACACTCTCACACCTCTCAAGTGGTGGGTGGTAACAGCACAGCTCACCGGTCTGCTTGCTTGTAAAGCTGTAATTACAGTCAAGAGAAAGAGCCATTAAACCATAATGGAAAACTGCAATGTGCTTTTTTTTTTTTTGCCTCCCTCAGTTTCTTCATTCATCTTACTGATTTTATTCCCTGATTTCTCCCTGTTCCTCTCTCTCTTTCTCTTTTCTGCAGGTTTGCTAAGAACCTCTCCCCAGATAAGATTAATCTGAGCACTCTGAAAGGGGAGGGCCAGCTTACCAACCTGGAGCTGGATGAGGAGGTTTTGCAGAACATGTTGGATCTGCCCACCTGGCTCGCCATTAATAAAGTCTTCTGCAACAAGGCCGCCATCCGGGTAAGAGATGACATCATCACCATGAGTCCCTCTGACACCAGTATTGTAGAATCAGCTGGGAAGATAATTAAGCTCAGCTCTCAAAAAATATTGTTATTACTGTTGTTTTTATTACTTATTTTTATTACTTTTTATTATTTATTTATTTTATTATTATTATTTATTATTATGACTATTAATAATAGTAATAATAGTCATAATATTTTGTCCTTGACACAATATTATACACTGGCTTTCATCATATTTAGTGCATATTTTAACATCACTGCAAAACACATAAGCAGAGTCTTTTGAAGTCACATTTGAACATATTGCTGCTAGTATTAATAATAATAATATTAGTTGAAGCAGTAGTAGTAATAAAAACAATAATGATGATAATAAAGTAATAATAATAATAATTATTATTATTATTATTACTGTTATTTTTATTATTTATATTAGTATTATTATTTATTATTATTATGGCTATTCTACTTGAGCTTTTCCTTTCTCTCTTCCTCTTTCTGGCCCCAGTTCTGGACTGCAGTTTTCCACAACCATTATTGGCCATTCCTCCATTCTTGTCTAGACATGGTCAGCCACGTAGTTGTTTAATGAAACCTCAATGGATGTCATTGTGTGTATTGATAAAATACGATAGCCGCAGCTGTTCTGAGGGTCAGTGCGGCCCTTGTGCAGCAATCTGATTGGTTAAATGAAGCTCACGCCTGTATAATGACTGACAGAGAGAAAGGATGGTGTCTATGATGAACCTCACCAATAGATCTAGCCTTTGAAATGCTCCTTTTCCTATTCCTTTCCCTCTGTTCGGCTCCTCCTTTATTATTCCTCCCTATGATCTCCTAACATCAGTTTTAGTATATTTCAATGCCTAATATTCATGCTGCAGCTTTTTAACGCTCTACTTTCACATCCATATTCGAGTGCAGAGGAAATGAAATACAGCTTTTTTTATATTCTGCTCTTTACAGATGAGTGCATGTGTGTTTCTTGTCCCCTTCTGACTCTTTTTAAGAGGAACGTACAGATTTCTCCCTCTGGCTGTGCTCCAGGTGTTTCTGAGCGCTCACTGACGCACACTGGAAAAAACTACTCTCTCTCTCACACACACACACACACACACACTCAGGTTTGTTTTTGTGAAAAGTGGGGACATCCCATAGGCGTAATGTTTTTTCTACTGTACAGACCGTATATTCTATTGCTCTACACCAACCCTACCCCTAAACCTATCCCTCACAGGAAACTTTGTGCTATTTCAGATTTTCAATACACTCCATTCTGTGTTATTTATATGCATTTTGAAAAGTGGGGACATGGGGTAATGTCCTGAAAAGTCACCTTCTCCTTGTAATACCTATGTCATACCCTTGTCATTATACAAATTTATGTCCTCATTTGTCACAAAAACGTGCACACACACACACACACACACCTTAGAAGTTAAATTAGTGAGGGCCTTTCATTGATGCAGTGGTATTCATACTAAGCAAACCGGTAGAGATGATTAGATTTGAAGAACGTGATTTATGAGCCTTTCAAATATCCTCAAGTCGATTTTTGACATGTTTCACTATATTTCTGAGGGTGTTTGGCTGTCACATATATAGCCATAAAAGGAATACAATAAAGCCAATCTTTAAAGTGTGTTTTTATCCAGAAAAAGCAATGTTATTAACACACACCAACACAGACATGAGTGCACGCATCATATCTTAGCAAAGGTACTGCACACAGTGTACTTTAATTATGAAAGACAATGTTACATATACTGTAAATATATATTTTTCCTTTGTGTGTGTGTGTGTGTGTGTGTGTGTGTGTGGGTGCACTAGATCCCATGGACCAAGCTGAAGACTCATCCAATCACTCTGGTAATAACACTTTATTAAAAATATTTTGTCTTTATTATTTAATTAAATTTTTTGTTTTATGTTTTGTTTTTTTTGTTTTTTTGTTTATGCTGTTTTGTTTCACTGTTTTTTTGTTTTGTTTTTGTTTTTTGCTTTTTTGTTTTGTTTTTGTTGTGTTGTTTCGCAGTTTTTTGCTTTTGTATGTTTTTGTATGTTTTTTGTTTTATGTTGTCTTGTTTTTTTATTTTGTTTTGCTGTCTTTGTTGTGTTTTTTTTGTTGTTGTTGTTGCTGTTTTGTTTGAGCCACTGCTTTGATTAAAGGCATGAAACACATTTTCTGCAGCTTAATTATTGCAACTGTAAATCATGTCTTTCAGTCTTTGGATAAAGTCATCATGGAGATGAGCACCTGTGACGAGCCTCGCCCTCCCAACGGCCCATCACCCATTGCAACAGCCTCGGGTCAAAGGTCAGTTTCAGTTGATCAGCTTTATCTGCCTTGATTTGTATCTCTCCTCTGCTGCTTCCAGTTTTTAATGGTTCCTTCTGTCATGGAAAACCTGGAGGTATATAAAATGTGCCTTGGAAAGCCATGGAAAAGATTATTTCTTTTTGTATTTGTTTTTGTTTGTTTGTTTGTTGTGAGAGCTAGATATTGCTTTTTGGCGAAAACTTGTTGTAGCGTAAAACTTGCTTGCAAGCCTAATATTATATGTTTATTTGTAATCTTATTCTCTCTTTGCCAGTGAATATGGTTTTGCGGAGAAGGTTGTGGAGGGCATCTCTCTCTCTGTGAACTCCATAGTTATCCGCATCAGCGCCAAAGCCTTTAACGCCTCCTTCGAGCTCTCGCAGCTCCAGGTCTACAGTGTTAACACCAGCTGGGCCACCGGTAACCTCCGATACACACGCATCCTGGACCCCACACGTGGAGAGGTGATGAGAGATACCTATGGTGTTGTGGAGTCTATGAGGTATGTGTTTATATGTTAACACCATGATTTGTTTTAGATCCTAACATTTAAGGAAGTGAGCTGGCAGATGATCAGGATTGAAGCGGACGCCATCCAGAACACAGAACATGAGGTTGTCAGCGCCCCCATACGCCTCATCACCAACCAGTCAAAGATCAGAGTCTCTTTAAAGAGGAGGGTAAGGATGCACACATGCTCCTTTCACACCCTCAAACAGAAGCATATGGTTAAATGTTCAAAATTAGATCCAAACTGTCCATTTTTGGATCACTGTACTAGCATTTGTATCTTTGAGAGTGTGTGTAGCACTCATTCTTCTGTGGATCAGCTCTGAGCTCTGCAGGCAGCCGGGATACATTTCTCTGTTGGTAGTCTGAATATTGGCAGCTGATTAGAGGGTTTTATTTGGGTAGCATCCAGGCCTCACATAAAAACAAATGCAAACAAACTCTGTACATTTAGTACGGTCAAATTATGCAAGATTAAATGAAATGCAGTAGAAAGCATATTGAAAATATGGCCTTTAAATTCCTTCATAAACCTGGAAAAAATTTGTTTAAAAACATGAAGTCAATAAAACATGATGATGTAACAGTAAGATGAATATTGAAGATTCTAAACTGTTAAAAATAAAATTAAAATTAAAATAAACAATATAAAGCTTGAATGCTGGTGTCATTAAACCAAAAAACAAATATTAAGACATTAAACAATATAATACAGACACAACAATGTAATATATAGAGCATAAATACAATTGTTCAAAAATTTGGGGTCTTTTTTTACTACTATTACTATTTTTATTCATTATTTACTGTCAGTAAAGACAAGTTAAAAAAAGATAAATTTTTAAAATAAATGCTGTTCTTTTGAACATTATAATCCTGAAAACAAAATGTATCACGGTTTCCACAAAAATATTAAGCAGCACAATTGTTTTCAGATTTGATAATAATATGTTTCTTGAGCACCAAATCAGGATATAAGAATGATTTTTAAAAGATCATGTGACACTGAAGACTAGAGTAATGGTGCAGAAAGCTCGCCTTTGCCATCGCAGGAATACATTTTATTTTAAAATGTATTAAAATTTAAAACAGTTATTTAAAATTGCAATAATGTTTCACTGTATTATGGTCTTGGCGAGCTAAAGAGACTTCTTTAAAAAAACATTACTTATGATTACTTGTGTGAGATCCCACAGTATGTGCCTCACGGCTGTATGTCCATGCTTTTTCCAGATAAAAGACTGTAATGTTATTGCATCAAAGCTGATTCTGATCCTGGATGACCTGCTGTGGGTGCTGACGGACTCTCAGCTCAAGGCCATGGTGCAGTACGCTAAGTCTCTTAGTGAAGCCATGGAGAAATCAGCCGCGCAGAGGAAGAGCATGGCCCCCGACACCACACAGGTGTGTTTTTCATGCCACTTCCTCGTCCCCTTCACTAATCAGCCACACTACCTGTTTGACTACCTCTTTTTTTTAAATTTTGCTTTCTATTCTCAAAATAGTATTTTAGTGCCCCCTACTGATTGTACATTTTAATCCTAGAATTTACATTGGTGATGTGCCAAATTTTTGGTGTTTTTAGGTAACACCGGCGCCCCCCTCAGCCCAGCAGGTGCGCACACAGCAGGCTTCAGCCACAGCAGATCAGAGCGCTTCTATGGCACGGCTGTTTAACGCCTATGATGTTCGTGAGACCTCACACCACCTCCAAATCACACATCTCGACCTGCATATCTGTGACGACACCAATGCCAAGGACAGAGGTACCACATATGCACACATTATACTGTTAACACCAAAGTGTGTTATAGAGTTTGGTGTTAAGCTGAAATGTGTCTTTTTCACTCTGCAGGAATTAATAAGAGATTTGATGGTGGTGCAATGCAGTTGTCCTTCAACTCTATCAGCGTAGATTATTATCCCTACCACAAAGCTGGTAAACTCCTCAAACACTTATAATAACCTGTTAAACAAGAAGATGTTCTGATTATGAAAACATCATTCTTTCTCTCTCTCAGGTGAGACCTGTATGCACTGGATGCATTACGGTGAGGCCACAAAGTCTCGTGAGACCTGGGCCCGTTCTCTCCTAGATGAGTTTAAGTCTAATTTGGAAATGCTCAAAAATGCAGTCAGTGGCCAGACCCAGAGCTCCCCTCAGCACGGTGAGAACGTCCTGCCCATTAACACACCTTGATTGGCTGATTTCATCTCATTGTAACTGAAAAACAGAAAATGGATGAATTTCATGCAACCTATCGAGAACATGTCTGGATCATATTTGACCCCAAAATCAAAAGAAATAAATAAGAAATTTTGACATTATTTTCATGACTATTAAACCCATTTTCCCATATTACACACACACACATATACACACATATATATATATATATATATATATATATATATATACAGTATCGTAGTACTGATGTATTGCCTTGGATTTGTGCTGACTTTAAAAATGTCTAACATTCATTTTATTATATTCATATTATTATTCATATAAAGGGATGCATTATGGTAATGAGAAGTTGTGTGCAAAATGTCATGAAAATAATGCAAAAATCAGTTTCATTAATTCATTTTTTTATTTGTTTGTTCATTTATTTTTAGGGGGGGATTTTGGGGTCAAATTTGATCCGGACACTGGTTATTTAATTGACAACTATTAATTATAGATGCATAGATCTGGATATCTGCTCATCCAAACAATCGATATAGCAAGAATTTGTGACACTCTATTTTAAGGGCTCTTCACAAAGACACTTTCAGATGACACTGACTGCACAGTTATGGGTTGTAGTTCTGTTCATGGCTAACAAGAGGTCTTCCATGTGGCCACTGAAAGCATAGCAGAGTCTTTGTATAAGGGTCTTTAGCTAAAGTGTTACAGTTTTTAGCTCAATAGCATAGTATGGCTAATATTTATATTATATGAGTATATTATGATCATGAATATAATTTAGAATGTGTTGTGGCCATTAAGTGTGTCCTGGTAGCAGCTAACACCTGTCCTAGTTTGAGAGGTTTTTTGCGTAATGGGTTCTGTGTCCCCAGTCCATCAGTCGATTGTCTTAGAGGCGAAGGGTGGAGGGATAATGGTTAGGGAGCTGGACTCAGGCCCAGATGGCTTGTGGCCGCTCTCCCCCACGGCCAACTGCTGCTGGTGTCTGGAGACAGGTACCTCTCTGGTGTGCGTTTGAGGTGCCTCACAAACACATGGCTGCGGTTTGTGCAGATGGTCCACTGTGTTATTGATGTCTGAGTTTATGTGTTTCCTACAGGAAAGATCTCCACCAGCTCCAGCACTTCCTTCTCACCTCCACCTGCACCGAGAACCCAACTCATGTCCAGCTCAATTGTGCTACGGATGGCAGATTTCAGCATCTATCAGGTTTGTATGAAAGAATACACATAAAATATTTAGTCGTTTCAAATTCAAATGTGTTTCATCAAGATGCATCAGTGCTGTCATCATTGACTGAGTAAATGATGAAATATTTATTAATAAGTCACCCTTTAAATGTTGATTGTTATGCTGTGTTGAAGGTGTCTACAGCAGACCAGTCACGCTCAAGTCCTCAAAGCATGATCTCCTGCAATAAGAAATCCCTCTACCTCCCCCAAGAGATGCCGGCTATCCACGCTGAATTCACAGAGTACTACTTTCCAGATGGCAAAGACTATCCTAGTAAGACAGAAGTGACAACCTCCATCATAAATGCTGACAAAATCAGAATAGTCACTTAATATCTCAGTTCAACTCAAGCATTCCTTGAATTGACATGAATAAACTCTCTCTGCAGTCCCTTGTCCCAACCTGTATGTGCAGTTAAACGCGCTACAGCTGGTGCTTGACTCTCGCAGTCTGGTTTGGCTCAATCTGTTTGCGCTGGACCTTCGTCAGAGCTTAGAACAATTTATGGAGCTGTACAAACTCAATGACTCACAGAAACCTGACGAGCATGTAGATATCAGAGTGGACGGACTCATGCTGAAGGTAGTTCTTACTTACATTGACATAAACTGCACAGTTTAGCTTAATCTCTAATCAAATGGCTCGTTTCCACTGAGCAGTACGGGTCAGTACAGTACAGTATGGTATGATCTGGGATGGTACACCTTGATCGGGCTTGTTTCCACTGCCAACAGTACCCTTACTTGACAGACGTGGTGTATGCCAGAAAGTAGAGATCGAAGTCATTCTCGTGCTAAGAAAAAAGCATGACATTTTCTGTGTATGTGTGTGAAAATATAAAACTATAAAATACACTCTTATATTTTTGTTTGCGCACTCTGATGCAAACAAGCCCAACACGCATAAGCATGGAGGAACGAGTGAAGGAGACGCATCATTCCCCTTGTGTTGTCATTTCCCTTGTAGCACACACAAGTGACGATTCTCTGTCAACCAACCAATCAGCATTCTGCAGTGAGTCTAGCTCCACCCTTTAGGTACCGAACTACTGTGCTAGGTACCTCAACGGAAGGGTCCCAAAAAAGTAGTACGGTACAGTTCGCTGTTTTGGTACCATTCACAACTTCTAACAATGGAAACGGACAGAATTGCACACCGTACAGTACTGAACCGTACCGCTTAGTGGAAACGAGCCAAAAGACACCTGAGCAAGGTATGTCTTCAAAATTACTAGAAATTACAAGCGAGTTTGATCAGAGTTTAAGCTAAACTCTGCAGGGCAGTGGCCCTCCAGGTCTGGATTTGAGGAACCTTATTGTATTAAATTATTGTATTATAGTTTAATATAAAACTCTATGTTTGTAGCTGGTGATCCCTGCAGACCAGAAGAAGACTCAGCCTGACCAGCCCCGCTCAGTTTCAGTACAGACCTCAGAGATGGTAGCCACTAACACACGTCACTCTTCCGGATGTACTCGGTCCAGTCTGGAAGCCCTCTTGCAGGCATTCCAGGAACAACCCTTCTTCACCTCTCTCTCTTCGTCTTTTCCTCGCTCCCAAAACTCCTTCTCTGTGCTGCATTCTGTCTTCCAGCGGCATGCTCATGAGCAGGACACACGCATTCATGATGTGTACCGGGGCCTTGCTCCGCCATCTCTCTCCACAAATGCCCTCAAAACACCAGCAGCCACTGACTTGTGGGCCGTGCATTTTTCCCAGTTCTGGGTGGACTATGAGGGCTCACGCAGTGGGCGAGGTCGTCCGACACCTTGTGTGGACTCCTTCCCTCTGACACTTTGGGTATGCCACCCTGCCCGATACACTCAGCACCATGAGAAGCTCAGAGCAGGCGTAGGGTCAGGCCTGTTGCCTCGCAGTGAGTCAGCAGAGATAGCCAGTCGTCTGCAGAGGAAGAAGCTTCTAAAGGAGTACTACAGCACTGATGCATCTCCCAGCATCACGCCAAGTAATGGCCTCCACAAACCACACTCTCTGGATGGCCTATTCAGCGACTCCTCTTCGTCACTTTCCCTTGCTTCCTCATCCTCGTCCAGTGAAGTAGACTTGCAGGTGCTAGTGCACGTTCAGAAGCACCTGAGTGCTCAGGTGAGCCATGGGCAGTATGTGTTCCTGCTCAGACTGCAAAATGCTGTGAAATCTCTGCAGCGCACTTTACAGCAAGATCTGGAGCAGTACGGCTCCAAGCGCCAGGGTCCCACGCAACCCTTCAGTGCCTGCGTGGGCGTGCTCATGAAAAGTGCAGAAGTTGCTCTACTCCTAAAGCCCATTCCCCAACCAGATTTAAACACCAGCCCCCTGGACTCAGACGTATCCCCTTCAGAAAGCAGGGCCACTCTTGAAGCCGGGAGTGAGGTGAGCGAGGGGCACGAGAGACCCTCGGCTGCAGGAGAGGGTACTCAAAACGCGGATCAGCTCCTTTGTGCAGGGACACATGCCATCAACGCATCTCCTCTCCTTCCTTCCCTATCTCCTGCTCTGAGAAAGGCGTCTGTGGATGAGAGAAGTAGCGTGGTATCTGGAGGGAGGGTGCCATCTGAGGAGAAGAAGGACTTGAGAGAAGGATCTCCCAATGGGGAGGGCAACAGAACTGAAGCCAAAGGGCAGCAGAGTGAAACCTCACAAGGTGGAACCATGGTAGTAGATCCCATGTCTGACAATTCCTCCAGGGAATGGAACGACCAGAGTCAGGGAGGCAGGCTACCTCAGTCCATGTCCAGGTATTACTGTTTGTGTATTTAGAACTCAACTGTCCAGTCTTTCCTGCTTTGTTTTTGGAAATTGATCATGCATAGCCCTGTCTCAAATGCTGACATAAGCTTTTGCGGTCCACCTTAGAGTACACACTTTGGTACAAATAGGACCCTGCTCCTAGAGGGCTACCTTGCTGCAAACGTGTTCCATGGCACTGGCCTGTAATGTTTAAGTCATGATGAACACCTAGCTGGTTCAGGAGTATTTGATTAGGGTTGGAGCTAAACGCTGCAAGAAGATAGCCCTCTAGGAGCAGGGTTAGCTACCCTTGGATTAGATGAGGGATGGGAAACTTTGGTCCTGCAAAGTTTAGTTCCAATCCTGATGAAAACTCGCCTCCCTCTAGCATTCTTGTTACCATAAAAGCATTGATTAACTTTTTCAGGTGTGTTTAATTAGGGTTGGAGCGAAACTGCAGGGCCAAGTTGCCCATCCCTGGACTAGTTAGTAACCCATGAAACCCTTTGAATTTCACCCTAACCCAGTCTAGACCTGGAAGGACACCTTCCTGCAGAATTAGTTCCAACCCTAATTAAACATACCTGAACCTGTTAATCAAGGTCTTTAGAATTACTAGAAATTGAGGCAGTTGTATTAAAATAAAAAAGGTTGGAGCTAAACTCTGCTGGAAGGTATACCTCCAGGTGCAGGACACCCCTTCCCTAAACATAACCTTAAACCTTGGTAGAAGCAAGACTTGCTATCCAGCCCAGGTGTGGGCAACACTGCCCCCCAAGATCCACTGTCCTGCAGTGTTTCTTTAGCTCCAGCTTTAATTGTAATTTTTAGAAGTAATCCTGAAGACTTTGGTTCGATTTTTTAGGTGTGTTTGATTAAAGGGATAGTTCACCCAAAAATTTAAAATCTGTCATTAATTACTCACCTTCATGTCGTCCCAAAGCCACAACACCTTCGTTCATCTTCAGAACACAAATTAAAGTATTTTTGATGAAATCCAAGAGCTTTCTGACCCTCCATAGACAGCAATGCAACTGATATGTTCAAGGCCAAGAAAGGTAGTTAGAACATTGTTAAAATAGTCCCTGTGACATCAATGGTTCAGTTGTAATGTTATGAAGCCATGAGGATACTTTTTGTGTGCAAAGAAAACAAAAATAATGACTTAATGTCAAGAATTTATTTTCTTTCTTGTCAGTTTTCGACGTGCGTTCACGACAGTACCACTGGTGCACTTTTCACCAGTGGGTGTAGAAGAGAAAATGTTATAACTGAATGTAGATGGGATTGATGCAGAAATAATGCCATTGATTGTTATGAGAGTATGCGTGTGTCTATTTGGGAGTAAAACCCAATGCACAACTGCTTCCTTGCTCTGAATGTGACCTCTGGGTGTGTGTGTTTGTTCAATCTCTCTCTTCCAAAGGAAAGGCAGTTTATCAGTGGTCTCTGACCTCTTAACTTCCACGCACAGCAGGTCTACCTCCTTATATTCCATGTCCAACATGTAAGACACCCTCTTTAGGACTCTGTGCCCATCTGTGTATGCGTGAATGTTTGTGGAGAAAACTGTGGTATCGTGTTTGTGATCATTTCACACTAGCTTCCTTCGTTGTGTTATGTGTAGGACTGTGGACATGCGCAGAGTTTGCCGACTCTGTCTCTGACTGGTGTTTTGATTTTGCCAAAAATGTTTTGCCGTTGTTTTTTTTCTTCTTAGTATCATTTATGTAGGTACTAACATGCTCATCCACTCTCATGCTCACCGTTTTCTACTTTTTGTGCATGTACTCTGCAGTGGTCGTTTGATTCAGGGCAAGTCGCAGTCGAGTTTCTCAGTGTCCTTTTCTAAGATCATGAAGAAAAGCCCTTCTCTACAGTCTCTGGATGATCTCTCCATAGACAGTTACTCACTAGAGGATTGTGACAGCTACAGCCTGCTGGAGAGAGGTACATGAGGTTGTCTTTTTATAACAGTGCTGTATTAGATTTGTGACCACAAGGGGGCAGTATTGTAACATCTATCTTTTTGTACTATTTTTGTTCCATTGATGGAGCAATGCTGAAAATTTCTTGATAACCAGAAATTAATTCAGATTTTCCATTTAGCACAGGCTAAACATCAGGCTCAAATGTGATGGGCTATGCTACTCACTATGGCTCTGGATATGCCGTTACACTCTCTTGTTCTTACCAAATCATACACAAATGTTTTTTGTTACAGATGACGTATCAATCTCTGGTTTTAAGGAGGTTCTAAATGAACAGTGTTCCACAGAAGGGACTAATGTGACTCTCGCTCAAGAGGCAGATGAGGCCCAGTCACCTGACGCCATCAGCGCTGCCTCACAGAGCATAGATGAACCCACGAAAGACCTTGTAATAAACCCTTTTTATTTATTCTTTCATTCCCCTTTTTATATCATGCTCAACTTGGTTGCTGAACGTTAACTTTTTCTCTTCTCCTGAATGAAAACAATGTGATGATGCATCTATTAGTATCAATGTATAAAATATCTGTATTACATGCATTTGCAGGTGTCGGTGCTGGTTTTGAAGATCCACTCGGTCTGCTGTTCTCTGGATCTGAAGGGTGATGATACAGCAGTTGCTCTGGAGGTAGGACAGATCCGACCCAACCAGCTCGGCAACGTCAGTTTGCGGCAGTATCTTAGCAACCGCAGCCTGGGTAAGACTGATTGACACCTGTGTTTGTTTGTGTGTGTGTGTGTGTGCAAGTGTTGCTGTTACACCTGATAAATATTTGCTGTTTGCGTTTCTTCAGGTTTAGTGTCTACAGCATCAGTCGCTCAAAGTGGTGAAGGTACTTTAAGTGTGTATCTTCATATGTTTGCATAGTGTGTGTGTGTGTGTGTGTGTTTGTGCGCATGTTTGTGAGTGTAGATTCTGTCTGTGAGTTTGCATGAGTCGGAGTTGTGTGTGTTGTGTGATCACTCTTTCACCACTTTTTGTTTAGCGAGAAGACTACTGTTCAAAAGTTTGGGTTCTGTATGTTTAAAAAAAAAAAACAGTCTCTCTATGCTCACCTAAGCTGCATTTACAGCATTTAATCAAAATATACAGTAAAATAGTAATATTGTGAAATATTATTACAATTTAAAATGACTTCTTTCTATTATTTCTTTATTATATATATATATATTCCTGTGATAGCAAAGCAAAATTTTCAGCAGCCATTACTCCAGTCTTCAGTGTCACATGATCTTTCAGAAATCTTTCTAATATGCTGATTTAGTGCTCAAGGAAGATTTGTTTAATTATTATCAGTGTTGAAAACAGTTGTGCTGCTTAATATTTTAGTGAAAGCCATGATGCACTTTTTTCAGGATTCTTCAAGCGATTCAATAGAACATCCTTTATTTGTACATTTATTGTTTTTAACATTGAAAATGTTTTACTGTCACTTTTGATCAATTTAACGCACTCTTTCTGAATAAAAGTATTAATCGCTTTCAAAAAAATACAAAAATAAAATAAAATTACTGACCTCAAACTTTTGAACGCTAGCCTACTGATATATTTTTTATAAACGACTAGTCGGTGGTTGTGTTCGTCAATAGAGAAAGATGCTAATAGCCTAATAGCTAAAGCATCTATCATAGATAGAAACTATCATAGCCCTCACTAAAATGAGTCTTACTGACTAATGTGTATAATGTGAACATTATTAGTGTTAACGAATTTGATTCAGTCCAACAATAATTCTCCTACTTATTATTGAGAGTGCTGTATTTGTTACACAGCCAGTGCATTGATGGCTTATAGTAACAGTGCTTAATTTAGATGTTAATCTTCTAATATTAAGCTTAAGCTTTTTTAACATCAACATGTAAAATTTAGCTTCAGTGCTTTTAGTAGCAATGTTTTAAAGGGATGTTTATTGGAAAGAGTTTGTTTGACTGTCTGTTTGACAGTCTAACAATATGCAAAAGCACAACACGCTTTCAACGCACAACAGTCCTCTCTGAGAATTTGTGCTTCTGATATGAACCCCTTTAAAGCACCTTGGCTGAAAACATTTAGTCAGTTGGTGGACGAGTATGTAAATAAGAGTTTTTTTTGTTTTTTTTGAAGCAGTATGGTAGGGTTGTTGTGTGCTGTTATGTGAATTGTAATAGAGCATTTTTCTTTTTCACTGGTCCCTGCTCTTCGCTTTCCTCCTCTCTCTCTCTCTCTCTCTCCTATAGCTGCTTTGGTATTGTGTTGTCGTTTCTCTACTGTCACAGACCACTGGGTTCTGCAGTAGCAGAACTGCTGGTTCAGGAGACTTTGTACACACATACAGCCTCTCATCTATCTGGGCTGTTTCAGAGCACTGCCTCTTTCCTCTCCAAGGATTAATCTCTAGGCTTTTCTCTGATCAGTTTCTCTTGCCTGATTCTGCTTGCCTCTGTTTTTCCAGTCTGTTTCTCTGTATCTTTCTCTGTTTTTCCAGTCTGTTTCTCTGTATCTTTCTCTGTTTCAGCTCCCATGTTCTCTATTTTCAGTTATTCTCACTTATTCACTTTTTCCTCCTGCACTATTTTTCTTCAGTATCTTCGCTAGGGAGAAAAAGTGCTGCGTTTGCTTGTTTTATTCACAACTGTTCAAGGAGTAATCAAAAAGTTCAGTCAGGAATGACAGGAATACCAATGATCGGATCGCTTTTTCTCTTTGTATTGGGGTCTGAGCCTTTCTGACTCCCATCATATTCACACAGGATGTTGAACGTGTGAAATGTGATAGTTGACCCAAAAATGAAAATTCTGTCATTAATTCTCACCCTCATGTCATTCCAAACCGTAAGACCTTTGTTCATCTTCAGAACACAAATTAAGATATTTTTGATGAAATCTGAGAGCTTTCTGACCCTGCATAGACAGCAACGCAACTGACACGTTCAAGGCCCAGAAACGTAGTAAGGATGTTGATAAAAATGTCCATTTGACATCAGTGGTTCAACCGCAGTGTTATGAAGCTACAAGAATATTTATTGTGCCTGTTGTGATACTCTCGTGAACGTGCATCAAAGACTGACAAATTGTTGAATAAAGTCTTTATTTTTGTTTTCTTTGCTCAAAAAAAATTCTGGTAGCTTCATAAAATTACAGTTGAAACACTGAAGTCACATGGAATATTTTAAGGATCATGTAGGGCAGCCAGAGAAGTATAGTTGATACCGTGGACTCCTCTGCCACGAGACCCTCTGGGACCGCTGAACTGCACAGCTCCGATATCATTTGATGTCTCCTTCCTGCCCTCTGCTGTAGGAAATTTCAATGAATTTCAATGAGATTTCTATTCATTACCGCAGGCATTGTTGTGCTGACATTTTGGATTCAATGCATAATTTAAATGCAGGTTTCAATGTTTTGGATTTGTCTATTTTTAGACCGGTGGCTGTCTCTCGTGTCTTGCTTTGCTGTCTGGTTCCACAGCCTATGCAGCGGGCCCTCGATTTCCACTCATTAGTGATCCATTGGTTTCCTGCATGACTGTGTACACATTCATGTGTCCTCGTAGTTCCAAGGCTTATTGCATTGCATGGAGAAACATGGAGTAACATGGAGTAGATGGTGTTTTCATCATGTGGATCTTCATTATTATCGTGTGTATTTTGTATAATGGCATCTATGCTGAAATATAAAGCGGCGTTCACACTGACAGTGATCTGCGGTTGGAATGATTCATTAGCAATGAGAGCAACAGGAACTATAGTTGAAAAAGTTTAATGGCATGTAAATAATCAGTGATACATTAGGCTATCCAGCAGCAGGAACACTTACTATCGGCATAAAATTTCTTGCTGCCTTCAAGTGCAGCTGATAAGCTTGTATCTTTGAGTTTGGCATTCATTATTATGACACTGTCTGAAATACTTGATTCTGATTGGTCAATCGCAGTATTCTGAAGTCTGTTATTCCCTGATTAAGACTGTTGTCAGACCACTCCTATCTGAAGCCAGCGTTTCTTTCATGTTTGTTGTATCACACCATGGACTCATCCTCTCATTTTAGCCAAACGCAGCTGGTGCCATCTTACAGCTTATAGTTATAGTTATTGATTGTATTGAAAATAAAATCGGAGGACTTTAGTAATAACACTACTGTAATATTATTTCAGTGTCCTTCTTGCCAGGATGATTGTTTTTTACATTGCAATTGATTATTAGATAGGTATGGATACGTTTTTTATCATGAAATCCATATTTCATGTCTGCTTAATTATTTATGTGGTGAGAAGACATGTAATAAGTGGTTCTCATTTAAATGTTGATTTTGTTTGAACTGGTTCATTCATCTTGCCTCAAAGCCATTTTTCTTAATTGAAGCTTGGCGTTTAGTGAACTAATAAAATATTTAAACTCAGTAAAATCAATATTTTGTGTCTAGTTATTGACTTACAGTTTATGGCAAGTAGCCTTGTAACTAGTAGACAAGTATACACGCCCCGTATGACACTAGCAGCTTGTGTATCACCTAGAATTCTGAGTTTAATACTTGTAAACATGACTTTGCTTGGTCATGTGCTCAGAAATCTTAATTACAGTGTATCTCATTTGAAGAACACATCTGTCAGTTTGAACAAAGCATTTCATGGATCCAAACTCAGAATCTTTAAACCAACAGAACATTTATGACACAAGTCTGTTAGGGAAAATATTAGCACATTACTTAATTTCTGATATTTATCAATCTCTCTCTCCCAGGCTCTGGGTCAGGGTCGGACCCCAGCACGGTGTTATTAAATCCAGAGGTGCAGGTGAGGCTGGAAAGCGGCCCGGGAGCTGCGGTTCACTCTGCTCTGGCCGAACAGAATGGCTTCCTGCAGTGCCGCCTACAGGCCTTCAGTGCCGACTTCCTCATGACATCACTGCGAAACCTCTCTCTCTTCCTGGAGGATGACTCCGCCTCCCAGGTTCTCCCCATGGAGATCACCATCAAAGATACACACGTCAATCTGAAGGTACAAGACATTAAGGCTGTCACAATATCAGATTTTATCTGAATTATCATAGACTATCACTTTGATTATTTTGGTTTTTTTCTTTCTTGGCCAATGAATCACATTTAAGACGAGAGTTTTTTGGATGTGGGTCTCACTTTCATCTGTCATGTCCTTGACAAGATTTTGTGTGAAAGCAGTAGCTTCTGGTGCTGGGTTAATTCTAATACCATTGTATATGTAGTATTAACATGATAGGGATATTTAATTTTTAAAATATCATGGTTATCACCAGTAGCAATGTTTTGGTACATACTTTGCATGATTGTACACAGCTCCTCAGTTCCAAAACCTAGTGAGCTGCAATCCCAGAATGCACTGATTTCAATGAAAAACCATAGTAGATAGCAAGACACCTCACATTTTTATCCAGAACCAGCATGTATGTACTAATATATGTGTTTAAATCAGGATGATGGTCCCCGTGACAATGCGTCAGAGCCAGAGGCCACGCCCATCGCCGTGCATATTCATAATCTTCTTATTCATCGCCAAGATGATGGCTCATTCAGCATCGGAGGAGGTTATTCATGTCCCTTACTTCCTGTTTTTCTCTTCCTGCTACCTCCTCCTCTCCTAAACTATAATTGTTCCTTATAGCATAATTTCCCCTCCCTCTGGCACATGCATGCACTCTCTCTTTTACTTTGAAGTTTTCCTCTATTTTGAATTATTTTGAAATAGGATTAAACCTCAGGAATGCACGTACTAAACGCATACCTCCCCCTCTCTCCCCTCGGACAGCTGAGCGTGCTGCCGACTCAAAGCTTCAGAAGGCGGGGCCTGTGAATGACAGCAGGCTCAGTTCTGTCCCTGAAGTTCCTGTAGGTGTAGCCAGTGAGCCGAAAGCCACTCAGACTGCACCTCTGTCACCCACAAGCCCCACCCCCTCAAGTAGAGAACAGGTACACAAAGAACAACTTGCGATATGTAAATGATTTTTGCATGATGTAATGCATCACAGGGTACGTCCACATAATGCTGTAAAATTGCAGCTTTATGTGAACGTTTCAGTTTGCGATCTAAATACCCATGTATGTTTGTAAACCTTTAACGGTGATGCAAGATTGCTGTTTTTGACTTGGTTTATTTACATTTTAAAGGGATCATTATTAGAAAAAATAAAATGTTCTATTTTCTATTAAAAACAATCCAAAAAATCATTTATTGAAACTAGGCTGCAAAAAATGGCTTGTTCTGAAATATTTCGATTTCTGATGACAGAAAACTATAACATTTACATGCAGTTACACATTAATAGCCCCATTTCCATTAACCTTCAAATTGTGCAAATTGAAATTGCGAATTGAAAATACACCCAATGTAAACACGTAAATTTCGCAAAAAAATCCCATATATCGCAAAAACTTTTTTATCGAAATTCGATAAAGAAATATTTTCAAAACTGCAATGGAATTTTTTTCACATTTACAGGTCATCTGGATTACATAAAAAGTCACATGATCATTCTTTAATGTAATATATACTTATTAACACCTCATATGTGGCACCTCATATGTGGCCGCTTACACAAGCATTGATTACACAATGCTTGTATAAGGGGCTTTCCTTGCCATTAAAGCTTGGATAACCCCTTATTTACACAGCACACGTCTACGGTGCATTATGACTCTAGCACGGCCACTGGAGCTGATCGCGGCCACTCAATGCTCGTGTTTATACCAGCCGCACTGTGGCAAGTTTCAGAAGCGACTCTCTGAGCTGCTTTGCAAAAGATACACACCTACGTATCCTTCAATTAAAATGAGTGGCTGGTGCGGTGGGTGCGATTATACATAAATCTACTAACATCCATCTCCATGACTTATCGTGAGAGGAAAAATGTCATTTTAGTCGCATAACATTGGTTAATGGAAACGCTGTCATTCCACAACAGTTTTTATCGACATATATAAAATATCGCAAAAGTTTTTCGAAAACCTGAAATGGAAACCCGGCTAGTGATGCCTTTTTGGTGTCTCACCCAGTCATGGTGATGTAAATACTTCAGATAGATGCTGTTAAAATTAAATTAAAATTAGTTAAAGGAATAACTAATGATAACTGTAAAAAGGTGTAGCACCTACAGCTCTGCATATTCTTCTGAAAAAAATCCAACGTTAGTAAAATATGACTTATATGAGAGTTTATTTCTAACAAGCCGCCTGATCATTTTAGTCCAACTTTAACATCTGTGTAGCACATACAGAGAATGTTTACACAAGTCTCACAGTAGTACTTTTTATTTTTAATATTTTTAAATTTTTTTAATTATGAGGGCCAGATAAAGTGTGTAGAAAATTTTCAAAAGCTTGACTATTATTTATAAGTGGACCTTAGGGAAAAAGTTAAATTATAAAAAATATAACCCCTCAATTATACAATGACAATTATCATTCAAGCAAAGCATATCTAGGCTGATAAACAATAAACACTTTGTGTGCCAAGCTAATGTTTTTTTTCCATCCACACAGCTGCTCATGGAGGAGAATGAATGCTTGAAACTAGAGCTCTCCAAAGCCAAGATGGCGCTAGCGGAAGCCCAGATGGAGAAAGACTCTCTCCAGCATCAAATGAAGACCCTCAAACTCACCAGGGGGGGCAGCAACAGCTAGTGGCAGTGCATGTGTGTGTGTGCATACAGGACTGACACCTGCCACAGGGGGGCAGCAGAGTGCTTGGAGGGGCCCGGCCCCATAAAAAATCCCAACTCTGCAGCCGAGAAGAGGATGGTATGTGTGCCGTGACGGTGATCTCACCGTCACGGCACACATACCAAGAACAGTGTTCTTTACTATAATATACACACAAAGCTTTAGCATCAGAAAAAATCAAGTGAAAAGACTCTTCGGGCAGCCTGTGGAATTTCACAGATGTTTTGTTGCTCTCTTCCTGTTTTTATTATTTCTTTCACTTCATTAATTTGTGTGTCAGCGAGCATCCCTTAAATTATCATGGGAAAGTGTAAAGGGGTGATAAACTCACAATCTCGCTCACTATCTCTCTCTCTCTAACCATTCTTACGCAGTGTAGGAGCACATTCCACCCTTGACCTTTAACCCCAGAACAGTCTTACACACTTAGTGTCAGGGTGTGTGATGTTGAATGTCATATCTTTGGAGGAATGTCTTAAAAAATTAATTTGCACTGTTTCTAACTCTTTTGTTTAACAATAACTAAAAAAATTATAATATTTAGTGATGAATACATTTATGATTATGTATAGTAATTGTGATACACAAGAATGTTTTGTTAATAAGTGCGATTTAATTGGTGGTCAAAATGTACCTTCATTTTGTTAGCGTCTCAAAAATGGGAATATGTTTTCAGAATTATGTTCACAAACACACTACAGGATTTGAATTGCACGACTTGATTTCTCTTACTATATGGACAGATTTTGTGTTTTGCAGTGCAACACTTTGATATTAGTTCAGTATTTGCAACTAAAAACATTGTCATTCCATGTTTGTCTTTTTATGTGAATATTTGCACTGCAACAGTCAAAATATTAGTTTAATTATTAATTTACAGGGGTTGTTTCTGTTAAAATACCATTCAGTCTGAACATGGAATGTTTAACTGATGCTTTGTCACATTGTTGATCTGATTACCAGCTTTTCTGCACAAAAAAAAACTAACAAACAAAAAAAAAACAGATGGATGGATGGATGTTGGGTAAAAACCACTCAACTGATGAATGAAATCTAAGAGTTTGTATTAGTTCATTTTTGTTTTTGGCTTTTCTAATTTATACTTTAAAAGAGAAGGTCCTGTTTTATGATGAAATGAGATGGAAAAAATATTTAAATGTTTTCTTGGATTTGCTTCACTCTCTCTCCTCCTTTGTTTTCTTCTGGCTTGGTTTTTCTCTCTACAGCGGCCTCTACAAGTGCCTGTGACTGCACACCTTCTCCAGAGGTACTGCTTGATTTTTCTCACATTTTGTTCTCTAAATGAATGTTTTAATGTTCTTCACATCACAACACAAGCTTCTGTCTGGAGAACATTTTTCAGATGTTAGAACTTGAACATGGAGAGCTGGATGACAAACACCTGATTGTAGGAAACCAAAACTTTTCTTATGTAGTACTAGGCCACACCCCTATGCCACATTAACCCCGCCTCAATATGTAATAGACACACCCCTTATAGATGGAGGCCCACCTCTTAAGCACAAATGATGAACAATGATGCTCAATCAAGCAAACTTGTGAAATTGTTATTCCTTGTGTCCATCAGAAGCTGCTGAAGTACTGCGACATCTGAAATAAAATGAGGAAATAAAATTTTAAATGTTTTATTAATGAGTATCAACTCTCCTCTTATTATTTATTTAAATATTTGAGTTATTAAATGATGATCCATATGTATCAGATCCTGTTGGGCTGAAAAATAATCAATTACCTAGTCATAAAGTTGGCATGAAATGGAAATTCATGCATTTAGAAATATATTTTCTAAACGCATGTTACTGATGTTATTGTGGAAAAATCATATTTTCTGACCTCGCTTTTTAAAAAAAATTTTTTTTAATTCTAATATCATAACTTGACCTTCCTATTAAACATCAGGCTTCTCTCTTTTTCAGTACGTTTCACTCGGATGTATGTCATAATGCTGAAGAAACTTGTACGAGTTTCTTGGTTCTGTTTAACATAAATTAAAATATTTTGTGGGTAACCAAACACCTGATGGTCAATATACTGACTCCCATAGTATGGAAACAAAAATGGAAGTCAATGGGGACCAGCAATTGTTTGGTAGTTGCTGTTCATCCCAAAATTGAAATTTGCTGAAAATTTACTCAAACTCAGGTCATCCAGAGTTTGTTTTTATGGGAACAAATTTGGAGAAATGTAGCATTACATCACTTGCTCACCAGTGGATCCTCTGCAGTGAATGGGTGCCGTCAGAATGAGAGTCTAAACAGCTAAAAACATCACAATAATCCACATGACTCCAGTCAAACAATTAACGTCTTTTGAAGCGAAAAGCTGCATGTTTGTAAGAAACAAATCTATCATTAAGGCATTTTAACTTTAAATGGTTGCTTCTGGCCTAAATACCACTCCATAATCCATAATAACACTTGGTCCAATGTATCATGCTTTTACTTCCACAATGTTTTGACATTTTCTACATCAACTTTTGACTTTTTGGAAGATGAATCACTTTTGCTAGGTGCTACTTAAAAGGTCACTTTTCTCCTGGGTTTCCAAAAAAAGGTCTCAGTCTGTGTAATCTCCGTTTGGTTTGGCTTCACCTCCGTACAACCTCAATCTCATGTGGTACTCTCATGAATTGTAAAGTCAGGCCCACAAGCGTGTGTGTGTGTGTGTGTGTGTGTGTGTGCGTGCACGCGCTCCCACTCTATGCATTGCCTATTAAGGCAGATGAATACTGCTCTGTTTGCTGCTCTATGGAGGAGTTTATTCCTGGAGTTAGAAACTAAATAGACACTGAACACCCGCTTGTGTTTGTGTGAGTAATGCAGAGAGCTTGCACACAACTGCCTCATAAGATCCGGTTGTTTCTGTTTCTTGGCAAAGCTGAAATCTAGTGACTCTGTCCAACACCCAGTGGGCCTGCAGCTGCCTCTCTCTCTCTCTCTTACACACACACACACCAGATCATCTCTTTCATTTCTTGTGTTCCTCCTCCAGTCTTTAGCACTGTTTTTCCCTCTCTTCAAGACTTCACAGATGAACGGCACAGGAAGTAATGCTGTGGAGATGTTAGTGAATTTGTAAACAAAACCTGAGAAAATCTGCAATCTGTGTTCATTCAGTATTTCAAAATTATAGCACAGGAAAAATATGATCTCTTACATGATCTCCTAAAGTACAGTGGTGGTTCCATGTAAATTATAGATGAGATTGTGATTTCATGAGTTTTGGTGATACTGAATGATTACCAAATTAAGGGACCAGTTTTTATATTTATTAAGGCTTTTCACTGTGATGTTAATGAAACTGAAATCTGGTTAATGTACATGACATGGAATCAGAATATGACCAGAATAATCTAGGAATATTCTTGTGTATCTAAATGCAGTCAACTGTTTACATGCACATCATGCTTCACAGATTTTAGAATATTAATTTATGCATGTTATGGGCTTATTTTGTATTTATTATACTGCATTTATTTCTGCACAGTAATTAATCCTCATTCCTGTCCTTGACAATAGACAAAAGTACAATGAACTGCAAAATGTAGAACATGACACATCTTTTAACGTTTGTAAAAATTTGTAAAATTGGATTCTGGCGTCCTTGTTCAGGTTATTGGGTAAAATGATAAAACTGAATATTCTAAGCTGTTTGTATGACCCAAATTTTAGTTCTCGGAACATCTTGGAATATTATTTTATGGTTGTAAAAATAAAACCTTAAATAAACTAGGATGTTATTATTTAATTCCCCAAAATGTTAGGGTAACATTCTCTGGGTTTTGTAATGATCTACACTGAATATTCAAAATAAACTGTTTGTATGACCTACAATTCTTAAATAAACCTAAACCTAAAATAATGTTTCTAGAAATGTGTTAGGCAATTTAAAAATAACCAAGCAGGAATCAAATACTAACATTAGCGGAATATTCTGTGTTTGTTGTTAAATCCAGCAATTTTTTCCCCTCTTGCATTCTGGAAAACGGGAATATTGGCTTTATCTTGGCCATTAAACATGTTTACATGATGTTTATATTCTGATTCATCATCAATATTAATTATTAATATTCTAAAATATTAATATTCTTGCAAAACAAACAAACAAATAAATAAATTACCAAAATTATTTTTTTTACATTAATTTTTACATTGGCATTGTACATGGCAATCATTGAGTACCATATTACCATCTCTCCACCACAGTAGGGTGTAAACGTGTCTTAAAATATGATATGATATCTCCTCGTGCGCCAATGAAATCAAAACAAGGTTACAGTAGTAACAGTGTTCGGTATCCGTGACTCCACGCCCAGACGGAGCAGCTCTCTCCTCTCGTAACGGAAGACTGCCATATAGGAACAGAAAGAGACTGATGCTGGGCCGCCCTGCTGTCAGTACAACGTCACACAGAGAGAGAGAGAGAGAGAGAGAGAGCGCGCGCGCGCGGAGAACAGCGTGTGTACGGTGACCGAGAGCGCACGGGAGAGCGGCTGTTAAGTGTGATTTAACCGGCGTCTCCAGGCAACCGGCCGGTCTGGAGGACCACCATCTTCCCGTTAAGCACAGCTGAAAATACAGTAAATATCCGGTGCATCATTTAGTCATTAAGCTCCGGTATGGACTAACGGCTTTATTCATACTGCAGAGCGCGTCGGAGCGTCTGTTTGTCGGTAACATGCCGCAGACATCCTAAAAGCAGACCTCGCCGTTCAGTCCGGATTGTTTTTGTTCTCGTGGATTAAACTTGTGTCCGGGATGGGGAAGGAGCAGGAGCTGCTGGAGGCTGCGCGGACCGGGAATATGGGGCTGGTGGAGAAGCTGCTGAGTGGGAAGAAAGGATTGCTGGGCTCGGGCTCGGGCTCCATACCTCTGCCTGGGTTACTCAGGTATGAAAGCAGACCGTAGCGGACAAGTTTATGTATGTGTGTCCGAAATAAAAGGGCTTTCCGGGAGTCCACCGGTTCCGTGCTGTTTATATCAATACAGACATAGGGATTGCAGTTGCTTGAGCAATGCAATACATCACACACACACACACACACCCACCCACCCTCTCTAGGCATCCCTCATACACGGTGCGTGCGTGTCAGGATATATAGGGAAGACCGCTGTGACACATTTTGTTTCAACGTCTGTAACTCGGTGTTTTTTGCGATACACGTCTCAAACTTTGATATGAAATTCTCATATCTGTCTGAAACAAGTTCAAGCGGTTTAGAAATCCACAACTCATCCCTAAAGTGTGCGCATTAATGTCAATTACAAGCAGTGCTGTTGTTTGTCATCCTAATAGACTTTCATTGTGAGAAAATCTCACATGTGTGTCCTCTGGAGTTGCGGAGAGCTCAGTGTCTCAACTGTCTTGCCAAGACACCAAAGTCTGCAATCAGAAGTCTGAGATTATGGTATTAAAGGGATAGTTGACTCAAAAATGAAAATTCTGTCATTGTTTACCCAACCTCATGTCGTTCCAAACTTGTATGACTGACTTTCTTCTGTGAAACATAAAAGAAGATAGTTTGAGACATGTCCTAGTGTTCTTGTCTAAGTGAGCTTTTTGGTTACCAACATTTTAAAAAAATATCTTCTTTTGTGTCCAAGAAGGTCATACAGGTTGGGACGACATCAGGGTGAGTAATATTGAATTGTCATTTTGAATGGTAATTTTTCAGGTGAACTGACCCTTTAACTCAAGAATTTCTCATCAAATACTTCCAAGACCAAATGATCTGGGCTTTTCATAGTGCTGTACGAGAGGGGGAATCGGATGGGAACGCAGTGAGGGGGGCCCACCATGGTCCTGCTCATTTGGCCCGGTGGAGGGTGGTGGAGCCACCAAAAATTTTTTGTCCCAGGCCCCATGTAATGACAGCCCAGCTCTTACTGTATGCCAATGATTGCCTCATTTTTTATTTAAGAAAAATCTGAGAATAAATTGATACTTAAAGGGTTTTCTTCCAAAAATTAAAATACGGTCATTTACCTTCATGTCATTCCAATCTTGACTTTTATTATTCTGTGGAACACAAAAGAAAATATTTTGTAAAATAGCTGTGTTTTTTGTCCATGCAATGAAAGTCAATGTGGTTCAAGATCCATTTTTGGACCCCAGGTGACTTTAATTATATGGGCAAAAAAGGTCTTCTTCTTTTTTATTTTATTTTATTGTGTTTTGTTTTGTTTTATTTTACTCATAAAGCAGTAAAAATCTTGTATTTTTTATTTTAATTTTTTTAATAAGTCAGAGGGATGAAATTAGTGAGTTTAAGACAGTGGGAGTTTTAAACTATTTTTGTTTATGAATGAAACATTTTGCATACAAAAGAATAAAGTTCACGTGATATATCCTTGAGAACAAAGGAGTGGTTTCATTCTATAGTGCTAAAAATAAAAACTTAAAGAACCAGATTGTATTTTATTGACTGATTGATTGATTGATTAAATATATTGGCCAATTTCTTTAGCTATGACAGCTAAGGAAACCTCTGAGCAATAAAATTTCCTTTGGAATTAATTCTAATTAATTAGTTAATGAAGGGTTAATGAGGCCTCATAAAAGAAGAAATCCTGCCTTCAGAATAAACTTTAACACACTGTCCTGATCGTAA